ATATATATATATATATATATATATATATATATATATATATATATATATATATATATATATATATATATATATATATATATATATATATATATTTGTACTGTAAGCACAGTACAGTGTTAATGTTCAAACTATTTACAATGTTTAAAGTGGCTGATAATAATACATATTCTTAAAATGCTATGCTGCTGTATTTCAATATTGGTAATTATGGTGGTACTTGAAGACAATTTTTTTCTGAGGTATTACTTGGTGAAAAAAGTTTGAGAACCTTTTAAGCAATATACCATATTGCAGACGTGTGTGATAAATGACATTTATTTTATGCATTGGTTGTTTATCTAAATTTGACCAATCAGATGGGGCCTTCAGATCTTTAGCCCCGCCTTACCAGTAGTAGCAGTTCTGCTGTTGAGAAGGTGGACCCAGAGCTAAAAATAAACACTAATGGGGATTCCAGATAAGAGAGGAAAATGACAGCCAATCAGAGTCAGAATATCTGCTGAGGTTTTCGCTCATTTATACTGTTTTAAAGATTCAACTTTTCCACCTCAACACATTTTTCAGTCTGAATTAAGAGTGAATTACATCTAAAAAGTATATTTTAACTTTTAATTTTAATATCGTTAAATGAATGATACAGCACGGTGGCCAGTTAGAAGTACAATCACCTCCCAGCAAGAAGGTCGCTGGTTTGAGCCCCGGCTGGGTCAGCTGTCATTTCTGTGTGGAGTTGCACGTTCTCCCCGTGTTGGCTTGGTTTTTCTTCGGGTACTTTGGTTTCCCCCAAGTCCAAAAACATCCGGTATATAGGTGAATTGAATAAGCTAAATTGGCTGTAGCATATGTGAGAGTGTGCAAGAATGTTTGGGTGTTTCCCAGTGTTGGGTTGCGGCAGTAAGGGCATTCGCTGCGTAAAAACATGTGCTGGATAAGTTGATTGTTCATTCCGCTGTGGCGACCCCAAATTAATAAAGTGACTAAGCCGAAAATAAAGTAAATAAATGAACATTTTGCTAGGGAAATTTTGTATCGTAGGAAATATCGTTATCCGCTTGTTAAGTGTGACGTCACGCGAAGCGGCTTCCGGGTCCAAGCGCTCTATTCAACTGAATGGGGAGACTCATGAAATGGTAATAATAAACGTTTACAAAGCGATTTAAGGCTTTCGAAAATCACGATCGCAGTATATATGTCCATGCCTAATATCCGATGGCCAGAAAGTGATTAATTTTTTATAAATTGTTACATTTTTGGTATTTGTTATGCAGCAAGCCCAGAGATTGTTGTGTACAATATGATTTTATATAAAATTAACTTTAATGTGTGATAGGAATAAAACGTGATCATAAACGAATGATTTCTCCACTCAAATGAATGGCGGCTTGGACCCGGAAACAGTATTACATACGTCACAAACACGTCACCACTTAACAAGCGAATTGCAGTATTTAACAACTAAATCACATAAGAAAGTGAAGCCCTATCTGATTGATCAAATTTAGATAAAAAAGTATGCATAAAATAACAATTAATGAAAAGCGCTATACAAATAAACTCGATGTAAATATTGCATATTTTTCCAGTATCATGCATGCAGCCCTACTGTAAGCATTAAATTAACGATTCAAATTAAGCCTAGTTTATAATTGACACAAATACAGTCGTTCTATTTAAAGAATCAGAAACTTTAGTATAAAGTCAGTGTGTACCTGGAGAGTAAAGTCCAGCAGGATAGGACAGGTGATGGGGAATGTCCTGTGGAAACAGAAAGGCAGGACCAGAATGAGGTCCTACAGGCATACTACTGTATGGATAAACAGACAGCGGGAGGCCTGTGTTAGAGTAGAAGGAGGAGGCATCAGCGCAGGGAAAGATCCAGGAGTGGCCAGTCATTGGGCTTTGCTCATACTCTGGCTGCTGATGGGCTGCACCTCCTGAGAGCTGGGCAGAACCTGACAAACAAGAATGTAGGAACTTTTGAGAAGTTTAGAGACAATTTAAAGGCAGTGGTGGCAAGAGTACTGAAAAATCATACTCAAGTGAAAGTACCATTACTTGCCTAAAAATGTAGTGCAAGTAGAAAGTATCTGTTGTAGATATTGCTCAAAGTAGGAGTGAAAACTAGCCCATTTAAAAAGTACTCAAGAATAGTGAGTATTATGCTGTTAAAAGCTGATGCGTTTACATGTAATTTGTGGATGTGTGTAAACATAACATTCTGTAGTGCATTTAGTTATTGCCCAGCAGGCGCACAACGCCTGACGTTAATATTAGGTTAGAATTAGGTTGTGATGTCAGGTGACCAAAATTCAATGTCTAGCCAGAGTCTAAGGACAATCTTATTTTGATGTCCAATAACGATGTCAAATGACATTGATATTTGGTTGATTTTGAAAAGTGTATTTGTTGGAAAGTGACTAAAATCCAATGTGGAGCCAACGTCTTAAACCAACATCATATTGACATAAAAATACTGACATTTATTTGTTAGGTATGGCAACCAAAATCTGATAGACATCATTAGTATACAGTAAACATCTGTCCTCTTCTCATCAGTTTAGAGAGCATCTAAACAGTCTCTGGGGTCAAGGCGTGTAAAGATTTTGAACATCTTCTTGGACACTTTTAATGCTTGAGGTAGTCCACTATGATGTGATTTACCTTCTATGAGTGATATGATTGGACAGGAATCACAGCACAGATTTTTCTAATCCCCATAGACAAGAAATAATAAAGTAGTGACTGCAGGTTTGTCACTGACTCGGTCCCGGTCATTCCCCTCGCTGGCCAGCAGAGGCCACCATCTCCGGACTTTTAGCATTACATCATCCATCTACACTGATTGCGCATACACCTGATCTGAATCAGGCTAACGACCCACGTACCTCTTATAAGCCGCACTCAAACACTCAGTCAGTGCGAAGTCTTGTTCAGCCCCGGCCAGCATTACTGAGCATTATTCCTAGCCTGATCTCCTGTGTACGACTCCAGCCTGTCTCTTACTTTGCTTCGCCTTCTGCCTGCCCACGACTCACGCCTGATATACGGACTCTGATTCTCTCTGCCTGCCCACGACCCACGCCTGATATACGGACTCTGATACTCGCTGCCTGCCCTCGACCCAAGCCTGATACACGGACTCTGATTCTCGCTCATTACCCTCCACTCATGCCTGGTAACTCGCTCTGTGTCTGTTCATCATCAGTTTTGATACCCTTACTACTACTGTGGATGTGTGTGTGCACTCAGGTGCATATTGTGTGTTTGAGTGAAGTCGTGATTAATAAATACTGCATAATGGATCCCTCCGTGTCAGTCTCCTCGTTACAAGGTTGAAGGACAGTAGTGGAGTAAAAGTACCGATACTGTAAACATGATGTCAAATTGACGTTGTACCCCAACGTCTTGGACGTTGCATTTTATTTGAAGTTCGATTTTGATGAAAACGGGTTGAGAACTTGAAGTAAGGCTAACATCAATATCCAATGTTCAACCAAAAACCAACCAAATATCAACGTCTGATGATGTTACAGCTTGACATTTTGTGGACGTTACCTCTATGACATCTATTGAACATTGGATTTGCGTTGTCATACCTGATGAATAAATGTTATTTGACATCAATATGACGTTGATTTAAGATGTTGGCTCGACGTTGGATTTTGCTCACTTTCCAACACAACCTAAAATTAACCAAATATTAATGTCATTTAACGTCATTATTGGACATCAAAACAACATTATCCTTAGACGCTGGCTAGACATTGAATTTTGGTCACCTGACGTCATGACAACTGTAACATAGTATTAACGTCTAACCCTACGTTCACACTGAAAGCAGAGAGAGCGTCAAAGTAGCCAGAAGTCATTCATTTTTAATGAGAGCTGGCAGGCGATAAGTGGCGAGGAGCAGCGCGGCTTTGCCAGTGTGGGCGTCGAGGAGAGTTGAAATCAAGGCAACTTTATGGTAATGACTAGGCCCATATGGAATCTGCGCGTGCAGAATTCCACAGAATTTCCGCAGAAATCCGCAGATTTCTGCAGATTTTTAGCCCATTATTAACTCTGTTTTTTAACTTGAGTAAATGTGTAAATCTGAATTTATACAGTTTTTATTCAGTCATTTATTACTTTTTATTTAATATATTAAGGGTTTAGTTATGCTACTCCGCTGGATACTCCCAAAATAATTCTGCAGAAATCCGCAGATTTTTACCAAAATTCTCTGCAGAAATAGCAAAAAACGTGCGCAGATTCCGTCTGGCCCTAGTAATGAGCTATGATGAGCTATGGTTCGGCGGCAACCAATCAGTATGTAGAAGTTCACCGCTTGAGAGGAGTTCAGAGAACACAGACCTGTGAACTTTGGTTCCAATCACAGTTGTTCCCAAGGGTTTGATTATTCAATTATTTGCAATGTTTTCTTTCTAACATGCATTAAATAAGTTAGTGAGTTAGTGATGTGCCTTAATGTTATATATATTTATCTTTAAAAAAGCAGGAATCTGACGTGACAGTACAAAACAGTACTGCTATGGACACATTGGATAATTAAGTGGAGCGCACGCAACTCGATCTCCCATTTTTAAATGAATTGGATAAGAAGTGCGCAACATTTTCATGGTAGAAAGTATGTTTTATGCAGGAATGTCACTGATATGCTGCAATGGCCCCTTTAAATAGGAGATCAATGTAACAAATTTTGACGCTCTCGCCGCCAAAGCTGAAGGCAGACAGCGTTGTCCCCAGGGTGGCGAGAATGACCTTGGACGCTCTCACCGCTTTTGTTGTGAACGCACAGTTATGACGTTGTGTGCCTGCTGAGTAATAATTGAATGCACTACAGAATGTTACGTTTACATACATGAACAAATGACATGTAAACACATTAGCTTTTAATAGTGTAATACTCACTAATCACTACTCTTGAGTACTTTTGAAAGGACTACTTTTTACTCATACTTTTAGTAATCTTTACACTAGATATTTTTACTCTACTTGTACTACATTTTTAGGCAAGTAATGGTACTTTTACTTGAGTATGATTTTTTAGTACTCTTTACACCACTGTTTAAACCAGGGGTGGCCAACCCTGTTCCTGGAGAGCCACCTTCCTGCAGATTTCAGTTGCTACCCATATCAAACACACCTGCCTGTAATTATCACGTGGTGTTCAGGTCCTAATTAATTGGTTCAGGTGTGTTTGATATGGGTTGCAACTGAAATCTGCAGTAAGGTGGCTCTCCAGTAACAGGGTTGATCACCCCTGGTTTAAACTGTCCTATGAAATTAGATTAAAAAAAAGTAGATTCTAGTTTTAGTCTGTTAGTTTTAAGGATATCTATTAGCTAGTGTGCTCCAAAACAGTGACAAAATTAAAATTTAGACAGATATAAGCTCGCTGTTTGTCACTTTGATTTTTTGACGTCACCTCATACTTCAGTCTCTCATCAAATCCTCTGACCAATCAAATGCTCTCTAGTATCTACCCCCCTTCTTCTTATTTGCTTGTTCTTTGATGCGCTTGAGCTCAACCACTCACAGTGGCAGAGCTGTGATAAAAATGACACGCCATTGGCTGTTTTTTAAAAGGTGAGGACCTTATATCCTACCCTCTCTTCATTTTTCAGTACATCAAACATCTAATAAAAAAGTTTACATTTCAAAGAACTTCATGGAATCTTTAAAAGAAATTTGATCTTCAGTTTAGTGCTGGTGATTTTCTATTGCTTAAATGGGTTTGGATTCAAATTCTAAAGTAATAGAAATGCACCAAGCTAAAATGCAACTGAATTTAAAAACATTTTGATTTTGAACTTAATAATTATATTCATTAATATTTTTTTCGGCTTAGCCCCTTTTTTAATCTGGAGTTGCCACAGCGGAATGAACCTCCAACCTATCCAGCATATGTTTTACGCAGCGAATGCATTTTTTAGCCGTAACCCAACACTAGAAAACATCCACACACTCTTGCACACACTCACATGCACTACGCGCACAGCGAGGTTGCAGTAAAAACAGGAGCGCTAGCATTTACAGCGAGGTAATAACATCCGATGCAGTACAGAGTTTGTTGTTGTATAAGAGATAAGTTAAATTGATTGCATAAAATATATATTTTTTACATAATGCTTTCAGCGTATTATAACAGCTCGTCACCTTTGATAAGCACAGTTATTTGGCAGAATTAACGTTAAAGTGAGCGGCGTTCATCTGACAGGTCCATTTGCGATAGCACCCTCCCAGTGAATATTGGATACAACGGAATGGCCAAGCATTTAGCCCCAAATATACAATCTCATTGAAGCTCCAAGTGATTTTACAAGAGAGAAGTTAAAGTCCTGCAAGTCTTTGGATGCCAACAATTTTGTTCTGTGTAGTCATGTGCAGGAAATAATGCTCCATGATTACCAGATTCAAAACTATGTAGTGTCAAAGACAAGGAAAGATAATGGAACTATACAAGGCCTGGGTAATCATCAACAAGCAAAACAACTGCATTCTGACAGCGAATTGCACCTGTACGGCAGGGCATGTGAACTTAGATTTTTACATTTCGTTATAAGCATTCAGTGTCCGCAGTTTACTTCACCATATTTAACTGTTTTTGCTGAAATCATTGCTTTAATCAAAAACGAGTAATGTGTATGATTCAGCATAGCGTGAACTTACCTGATATGAAATAAGAACTGCAGAGTCCAGCATTTTTAATTAGGCCCTCACTCCATTCAGCTCTTATGATGGCTGTTAGCCAAAGAAATCTGCGGTTGGCATTAAAAGCAGTGTGGTGTACGGTAAAATTTAAATTTTATACTTTTTGACTTTCAAATTTTTGGCATCCTACCACAGAACACAACGTTTGCTATTGCAACCCGTGTCTTTTTGCAATATACGCGGTATACACGCAGTCGAACCAGTGTGACGTCATGTGTGATGTAGGTTGGTAATTCCCCATAAACTCAATATAACTCGAAGGCCAGAAACTAATCTCTTTTTTTGCACTGTAACTGATGACTAACAGAAAAAAATACATATTTTACCTCTTCCCAACAGGGAAAACCACCAACAATAAAGAATACATAATATTATTTTATGGCTTTGCAATTAAAAAAAATCAATATAATGGAAGTCAATGGGGCAAAAACTGCCAAGAACATAAGCAAAGGGTATTCAAATTGGGTGCATAACTTAATAAAAAAAAATAAAAATAAAGCATTTTCCCAAAATATGTGTCAAAATGAGATTCGTTACCAAACATCATTCCATTTGCTGAAATACACAGAAAGCTGTGGCCAAATTCCCTCACTCACTCATTTTCTTGTCAGCTTAGTCCCTTTATTAATCCGGGGTCGCCACATCGGAATGAACCGCCAACTTATCCAGCAAGTTTTAACGCAGCGGATGCCCTTCCAGCTGCAACCCATCTCTGGGAAACATCCACACAAACATTCACACACACACACTCATACACTACGGACAATTTAGCCTACCCAATGCACCTGTACCGCATGTCTTTGGACTCTAGGGGAAACCAGAGCACCTGGAGGAAACCCACGTGAACGCAGGGAGAACATGCAAACTCCACACAGAAACGCCAACTGAGCTCGAGCTTGAGGGACAAGGCTCGAACCAGCGACCCAGCGACCTTCTTGCTGTGAGGCGACAGCACTACCTACTGCGGCACTGCTTCACTGCTGTGGCCAAATTATGACTCAGAATCACCCCAGAGTGGATCAAAACATCCCTAACAGCACACAAAGGTTGATTCATCTGGTGTAATTGTATTCATATTGCATAAAAAATACTGCAATGTCAGATTTTTCTAATATCATGCAGTCCTGATCTAGTATAAAATCTGAACTGACCTCTATTCTCTTCTGCAGGGTTGCGTTGAGTTTTCTGCTGTCCTCGGCTCAGTGGACGACAGCTTTCCTTCTCTCCAATCTTGGTCTTGGTCTTTTTACTGAGTGTCAGCCTCTTCAGATGGACCAGAAGCTCTGGTTGGCCTCGTCTGAAGTTGGGATTGTAGAAATGATGCCGGTTTCTGTGTTTGTCTCTGGGAGAACCGTCAAAAATCTTCTTGAAGCCGTAGAGGTTGAGCTGCCGGATGAAGCTGGTGAAGTTGGAGGTCTTAAAGGGTTTATTGTCAAGCTTAATTGGAGTCAGCAGGTCAACTTCAAACTGCTGCTGGTCCACTATTAAGCTCTCTCCGGTTGGGCTCCAGAACACAGAGCTGTTTTGGGGATTGTTTGTCAAACGCCATAACTTAGCTGGGAAGTTATGGTAATTTATGTTGACATTGAGAAGAGAATAGTCACAGTCCATGGCCATCTTGTTCAAATCAAAACATCACTCGTTTAACACCCTGTAGATAAAGGAAAGAGTATTAACATCACCAAAACACTTTTCAGTAGATTAATAATACTGATTAGATTTGATAAAAGTTTGGTTAAAGTGATGTGTTAAATGAATTTATTCATTTAAAAAAAGAAGTCTAAACTGTAAAAACGTTAAATTACAGAAATTTACTGTAAAATAACAGAGGTTGGATTACAGAAATTTACCAGAAATTTAAAATGAGTAAATTTCTGTCATTTAATGTCCGTTATTTTACAGTAAATTTCTGTAATTTAACGGCCGTTATTTTACTTTTTTTTTTTTCAGCACCCCAGCTGCTGGAAATAAATCGCAAAATTACTAAAAATTACCAAAAATTACAAGTCCTAGATGGGTGCCAGCTACCAGTAATTTACAAAATATCTTCTTTTCTGTTCAACAGAAGAAAGAAACTCACACAGGTTTTGAATAAGAGTGAGTAGATGATGACAGAACATCTGTTTCTGGGAGATATGTGCCTTTAAGTTGACAAATTTAAATTTTATCACAATATAAGGCAGTAAAATAAATTTTTTTTTACAGTAAACACACAAATAATGTAAAAACTGTCAGTAATATTTTAAGATAAATATAATTTACTTTGTTTTCCAGACTTTTGTTTTAAAGAACTGTCAAATACGATCATCAGGCATTTTGATTTATTTGTTCATCTCACAGTCATCACTATTATATTATGTTTTAGAACTGCAAAACTTGAATCATAAATCTAAATCTTTGAATTGGCCCACCATCTCATGTTAAAAAAGAAAGGAAGAATCATAGGGATGGTTAAGAGATATTCATTCATTCATTCATTCATTCATTTTCAACCGCTTTTCCAGAGCCAGGCCGTGGGGGTAGCAGTCTTACGAGGGAACCCCAGAACTCCCTCTCCCCAGGCACTTCCTCCAGCTTCTCCAGGGGATCCCGAGGCGTTCCCAGGCCAGCTGAGAGACATAATCCCTCCAGCGTGTCCTGGTTCTTCCCTGAGGCCTCCTCCCGGTGGAACATGCCTGGAACACCTCCCTAGGTAGGCATCCAGGAGGAATCCGAAACAGATGCCCGAGCCACCTCAGCTGACCTCTCAATGTGGAGGAGCAGCGGCTCTACTCCGAGCTCCTCCTGGGTGACAGAGCTCCTAAGGGTCCGCCCTGCCACCCTGTGAAGGAAACTCATTTCAGCTGCTTGTATCTGAGATCTTGTTCTTTTGGTCATGACCCAAAGCTCATGACCATGGGTGAGAGTAGGAACATAGATTGACCAGTAAATCAAGAGCTTTGAAAATCAACGAACTGGTACATCAACCGCATTACTGCACCAATCTAGCGGTCAATCTCACACTTCATTCTTCCCTCATTCATGAACAAAACCCTACGATACTTGAAATCCTCCACCTGGGGTAAGGACTTTCCTCCAACCTGGAGATGGCAAACCACCTTTTTCTGGTGGAACACATGGTCTCGGACTTAAAGGTGCTGATTCACATCCCAGCCGCATCACACTCGGCAGTAAACCGCCCCCATCCCTGCTGAAGGGCCTTGTTCAAGCCAACAGAACAACATTATCTGTACATAACAGAGATGAAATCCTGTGGTCCCCAAACCGGACCCCATGAACAGATTTGGTAACAAAGGGCAGCCCTGCCAGAGACTCATTTCTAATTTATTCTAACTTTTTGTTTGCTTGTTTTATTGCAAATTAAATGTTTCAATGACAATAATCAGATGAATGTACATACTGCCACTGGACAGATGGACAGTCCAGAGATATCAGTGAGCAAATTAAGGCAAAAGTTAATTCTACTTGATTAAGTATTCCAACGCAATCTCACAGCAATTTTAAAAATATTATAAAATAAATTAAATTGGGTGTCACAGTGACGCAATGGGTAGCACGATCGCCCCACAGCAAGACGGTCGCTGGTTCGAGCCTCAGCTGGCTCAGCTGGCATTTCTATGTGGAGTTTGCATGTTCTCTCTGTGTTCGCGAGTCCAAAAGACATGTGCTATAGGGAAATTGGGTAAGCTAAACTGTCCATATTGTATGTGTGTGAATAAGAGTGTATGGGTGTTTCCCAGAGATGGGTTGCAGCTGGAAGAGCATTTGCTGCGTAAAACACATGCTGGATAAGTTGGTGGTTCATTCCGCTGTGGCGACCCCAGATTATTAAAAGGACTAATCTGAAAAGAAAATGAATTAATGAATGAATGAAGTTAGGAAATTACCCACAGCAACTTTAATGTAATATAGTTTGGTATATTGCCATCGGCACATGGGTCTCAATGATATTTAGTTTTTGGCCATTTTGGACATTTTTCAAAGAAAATGTTTTGGCATCCTGGATCTAAATTAAATCTCACTCTGAAGATATACTGATATCCATATACATTGATCCAAACCCAATCCCCCTATGTCTTTTTAAATCTCACTGAATTACATTACAAGATATAAGCTCGAATCACCTATATCAGGTGCGTGGATTTGCTCTGGATACTGATGAGGACGTACATCCCTAGAGCGCATGTATTAGACAGCTCAAATTCATGCTTTAAAAACACTTAATAATACAATAACAATTGATGAAGCATGTCCCATGCTGCAAAAGTCAATTTACATGATTTTACTGCAATCTGGCTTTAAGGAGGAATGAATGTACAGAAATTTTAAGAAGCATGTCACGCAATCTATTATAGACCCTTTCATGTAGGTCATGTCATTGGTCTATGAAGATTTCCTGGGTGTTATCACACTATTTTATAACTGTAACAAGAGGTGATTCAACATAACTCATGGTATGATAACATTATTTTTCACACATGTGGCTCTTTTTGGATTCTCGGAAGTTGTAGAAATTAAAAATGTAAAACAGGAAATAAATTAAGTCCATTGTTATTGTTTACATCCCTCAAAATGGTCTATATATGTCTATGGATTTAACCCTATGGGCACATCTAGGTTACTAAGGGTTGACAGAGCAATCTTTTATTTTGAAGGCAATTAAATTATTGGTGGGGACATTTCAGTAATTGCTGGATATTGCTTGGGACATGTCCCCTTTGTCCATGCCAATACTACACCTTTGACCTATATATAATGTAAGCTATAATAAATTTCTGAATAATATGCACCAAATTACACATTTTTGCACGGTTTGAGCCTACATTTAAGCTTTTTTGTAGATTGTTTATCAAACGCCAAAGTGTAGTTTTTTAAAATTAAGTTTTAGTTTGTTAACATATCATGATGTAACATGTAAGAAGCTGTTGCAAGTTAATGTCATGATCAGATCACATTGATTCTTATTTAACCTCTTGCAGATCAAGGAAATTACATTTATGTTAACAACAAATCTAACAAACAACAAGCTATAACTTTAACACATTATTAATTTACTTAACAATTCGTTTGTCCATATAGATAACATCACATTGAATATTATTGAATATCATTTTAAATAGTATGTTCTGTCATTGATGTCATGATCAAATCAAGTCAATCCTCATTTAACCTCCTGCAGATCAGAGAAATGACATTTAGGGTAACAAATGGTAAGCTATGGTAAACTTTATGGAAACAAATCTAACAAACAGAAGGTTATAATGTTG